TTTTAGTCCTATTGTTATTGCATCCAGTGTATTTACCATTATCTGTGGGTTAGTGGTATTTTTCTTTTGACTTTTGCTATAATAAAATGAGTGAACTACATGTTCTTTATTTACTCCAGGAGCAATCAATTTACTTTTTGTATAACTTAAGTTGTTTTTTCTCATGTATTCTTTTTACAGAGTTTCAGTTCATGCCATTAAAAAAAAATAGAAAAACAGTAGAAGGTATGGCTTAAATGCACACATTCTAGATTATAATATATCGCTAGCTAGGCTGCATCTTGCTCTGTAGATTCTAGAGTGTGGGAAATACTCATATCATTTAAAAGAAAAACTTGCCAAGCAGATTGGAGCTTGTCCCTGTCCTCAGCTGTATGATGATCCCAGACACCAGTCCACACAGCCTCCAGATAGCCTGGGATAAAACATACAAATTAAGGAGCTGAGGCAATAGTTGGCCTAATTGAATCAAGGGCTTTATTAATTTATTATTATTTATTATATTTTTTAATTTGGAAAATGGAAGGGTGTAGACATTGGATGGAGAAATTAAAAAATATATCCACTGGAAAGAAACCTACTTCCATCAACACTTGCCCAAGTTTCAAAAAAGTGTGGCTATCTCTGAACCAAGTTAAAATAAAAAGAACTTACAATTTAGTTATAATTCATTGAATGTCTGCTTTTCTGTGCCTCAATTTCTTCATATGGAAGGTTGCAATAATATATTGAATCATGAATTTGTACTTTCTTGCGCATATTTCAACTATTATGCATAGTTGTATAATGGGAAGTAGAATCTGCCTGAAGTTGGGGCTCTGGGGATTCCACCAAAAAAAGGGAAAGGAATGGACTAGTAGGAGGACTTGGCTGGGAGTATGTCTGCATTGACTTATCCAGGAGGTGACAGCAGAAAATCCACACAGGTAGAATCCACAATTAGAGGACAAAGATGAGCTTAGGACAGGGGAATGTGCCAGCATCTACTCTTAGGTAGAGAGAGAAGTTCAGCCCAGGGAGGAGGATCACAGAAACATCCCTTTATGCTCTGAGTGTTTTTAAGAGCTATGTTTCCCACAGATTCATCAGATTTGGGGTAAGCCCACTTATAAGAAAGGATAGCATTTCTTCTAGTTCTTCCCTGCCTGGTATCTAGGTTTTGAAAACTATTTCTCTCTTAATTTTCAAGTCATCCCCACCAGCCCAAATATTTTATATCAGTTTCCCACTGTTTATAAAAACAATAGTACTTTTCAAGGGCAATTTCAAATATGCAATGAGATGTCAGAAAAATCTTGTTGCAATATTAATTTATAATTTTGCTGGTCCAGCACAAGTTTCTGTCCTGTTTCCAAGGTGATCACTGGGACCTTGCGGACCTTCCTGAAAGTTTTGCTCTGGGTAAGGTGACAGCTTTGACACATTGCTGCTAAGGCATCTGTGTGTGGAGGACAGTAGTGAACTAGACCACTAGATGATCCTCCTTGGCAGCAAAACAAGGGCTCATAGGTGGCCTTAGGTTCATTTAAATGAAAGAAATTGTATGACTATTTCCCACACTCTAGAATTTATGAAGCAAGATTCATCCTAGCTACAAATATAATCTGGACTGCATGCATTTAAGCCACTATTGCTTCTATAACCATTGAGATACTAGTATGTCCTGTGAGTGGACATGTGCCCCAGTGCTCCAATTTTTAAAGGAATGGATGTTAAAGAGATTCCTAGACAATCCTGTGAGCATCTATTTTATTTAAAAAAAGTTTCTGGCTTACTCCTACAATCTCATTAAACATAGTACACAATCAGTAGGTTTGGGGAAATGATGAGAGATTCCAGGAGATGGGTTAGCTAAATTAGTCACCCGTTATGGGTTTAAACCTCTTATTTCTTTTCCGTGTTATTGGGCATAGTTGGTTTCTTCTGAATGAGGCAGTGGGGGCAACTGACATTCTTCCTGCTCAAATCCTTTCCACCCTGCAGTAGATCAGAGCAACTCAACCACAGCAGCACACACTGGAAAATGGCTGCTCTTTCCCTCCCTTTGCCTTTGTTCTCTATCATCTTTCTACACCACCACCACCCCATCTTTCAGCCCTGGGCATTTGTTAGTCTGCTGGAGCACATAGGACTTAAAAAACCTGCAGGATCCCTGCAACCAGCAAGCCATGGCCTCCTATCTAGAATGATCCCCTATTTAAACTTTTCAGAGAAGGGACAGGGAATATGACCATAGATGCCCTGAAATTTCCAGAGGGGGTAGACTTGTCATGAGATGCTGTGAGCCAGAAGATAAGGTAAAAACCAGGGCAAAGAAAAAGCATCTATCCTAATTCAGGAGCTGATGCCTGCAGGAAAACACCACCTCTGAGCACAGCAGGGATGCTCAGGTATGTGCCTAGTGTGGGTGGCTACTTCTCAGAGATAAGGTCAAATCTTTGAGTCAGAAAGGAGGGTTGGTGAGAACATTGCCTGGGTTCCTTCTACCTAAAGCCATCACACACCACACTTTCGTTTAAAAGCATAAATTTTTATAACTAGCATAATAAATCTACAATATAACTATCATTTCTTAATGGCACAACTTTAAATAAAAAACTCACTTTAATTTTAAAAAGTATGCCATGTTAAGGAATAAAGAAATAGCAGAAGTGATACAAAGTGAACAAACATTGGAGAACAAACATTTCCTAGACCTAAAAAGCCGCCTGCTCTGTTTAGGTGGGAAGTAGATTTCATGAGGCCAGAAATTGACTGTGTATAAAAAATAAGTGTTGGTTGACCCTTCTCAGGAACAGATCAAAAGTAACTATTGAAAAATGAAAAGAGGGAGGGAAGGAAAGTATAACAGAGGTATAAAAATTGATTAATTATTGGTAGGAACTGGGGTAAGGTAGTGATGATCCGAACAATAGGATGAAGGGAAGAAGGGTAGGAGAGAGAGAATATATACAATATAAATGTCGTGTTGCTCTTCATTACGGATTGCCTCAACTTCCCAAGAGGGGAAAAAATTATGTGTCTGCCTAGCGAGTGTGTCTCCATGAGACACTACTCCTAAGCTCTGTTATAACAAGTTTCTAATTGATACCATGGCTAAGCACAGTTATATTAGCATTTGTGTCATTTTGCCATCCATTTATCTTAAACAGGTATCCTCATTTCACCCATGTTTGAGCTCAGGAGTAAGAAGTGCCAGGAGCTTTGGGTATCTGTGAAGCTGGAAAGTAGGAATTCCTCAACTACAGACTCCAAGTCTTTATTCCTGAGACCCGCTGTACATGTGGGCCAACTGGGAGGTCATTGTTAGACTACAGGGAGACAGCAATCTATCAAGAAAAGAAGCATCAACCAGGAGTGGTGGCAAATACCTATAATCCCAGGATTCAAGAGGCAGGATGATCTTGAGTTTCAGGACAGCTTTGGGTACATTATGAGACCCTGTCTCCAAAAACAAAAAAGGAAGGAGAGAAGGAGATGAGGGAGGAGGGGAAGAACAGAGGGAGGAAGGAAGGAAGGCGCATCTATGAGAGAGACGACATGCCCACCACTTAACCTGTATCACCTCATCTCCTCCTCACCACATCTCAGACAGAGGCAAATCTCATTACCTCCATTTTTTTTTAGAAGAGGAAATGCTTTTTGCAGAAAAGGGGTGAAATAATTTGGCCAGAGATTTTCACTAATACTAAGGGTAGAGCCCAGATGAACTGGCCAGAGTTTGACATCCAAACATTGAACAACAGATTAATGTTGTCACTAAATTTGAGAAATGCCATGAGAGAATGGAGAGGATAAGGGTGAGATGTAACAATATGGAGGGCATGGGACTAATGTCTATACCTGAGCCATTCAGATAAGCAAGGAGAACTCCTGGAGAGAGAGAGAGAGAAAAAACAAGGACTTTAAGACTCATGGTTCCATAAGGTTGGATTTTAAAAGAAAAAAAAAGTCAAATATAATTAGCTGGAAAGGAAAACTAGATTATATAAGAAAAAGTTATATGTGTACACATATTTATGAAACAAGTCCCCAAATCCCTATGACCAAACACCTTGATGTCTGCCATGGAACCAGTGAATTTCTCTTTAGACTCAAACCACTGGCAGGAAAGTTCACCCATGAGTGACTCTCCTCCCCAACCCTTGGTTTCTGGTCTGTGCAAGGGTACCATTGAGCCCTTGTCAGTGTTGGATCTAAATGAACTGATCGCAGGTGAATGGTACATGTATTAACAGTAGCTCTTTTAAACACACACAGGTTTTCTAAACAACTATATTAAAATTTGCTTTGGAAGCTTCTATGTGAATCGCATTTGTGAAATGCAATTTTGCTGTGTTGTTTGTTCAACTCAAGATGTGAAGGTGCTGATGCAAATCTGGTTGCTACTGATGCTAAATAATTAGCATCAGAATTAAATCCTCAGATATGCCAAAGAATTCCAACCATGAGACAAAGAGATACTTGCAATAGTTTTCTTGAGTTGGGCGTGGTGGTGCACACCTATAATCCCAGGAGTAGGGAGGTTAAGACAGGCAGATCTCAAGTTTAAAGTTAGCCTGGGCTACATAGTGAGTTCCAGGCTTATCTGGACTATACAGTGAGATCCTGACTCAAAAAATAGAAGATAGATGATAGATAAACGATAGATAGATAGATGATAGATAGATGAACTTGAACTATTGAGCTGTGCTTTGAAAGCTAAAAAGCCATGAGATTATCCTTTTTCCTTCTTTAAAAAGAAACACAGGTTATATTCCAAATACAAATAGTTCGGTGATTCCTATCTCCACCTTCGTTATCTCAAGAAAGAGATTTATAACTCCAAGTGTTGGATGATGCCTGGTTCCCCCTTGGGATTTGTGGGTCACGCTCAAGCATTGGTGAACTAAGAGAAGCAAACTTGTAAATGAATTGCTCTGGAATTTGTCTAACTTATGCCTTTTCTTTTATTTATTTCATTTTTGCATTGAAAACATTACATTTCTGTTTCCTTATAGAGTAGTGTATCAAGAGCCTGTGTATGGCAATAAATTACTACAGGTATGAATTCCCGACTGATGGAACAACTCATCACTATAATTGTGGGTTTGCTGTGAAATCCTTACTAACAATATGATTCTTGAGAGGGAAATTCTCTAACACAGGAGGAAGAAAGACTTGACTGAATTTTCCAGTTTTAATGTGAATTCTAGATTAGAGATGTTCACCTCTTCTGCTATGTCATGGTGGCAATGAGAGAGCTCCTTCCCAGTATCAAGGCAGACTCCATGACTGACATTAGATAGCTCTAGCTATGAATTTGTTTAGGTCAATGAGTTCATTGAATCGGATGTCTAGCTTGGCTTAAAAATGTATTTGGAGTCAATTAATAATTTCTTGGCTTGAAAATGGATCTGGAGTCAATTGATAAAAATTCAGCAAAAAGAATCAGAGGGTTTCATTGAATTAATTACCTTGGTTTTTTTTTTTAACTGATTCTTTGGAGTCCAATGAAATGTTTAAATAAAAAACCTTTTATACATGCAGCATTGAGGCTTAGCCCAACTAACATCTCACATAACCCTCCCTGGTTTTCATGTAGCCAGTCAGAAATTTATTTCGTACTTTTCAGAAGCTGAAACAATCCCCAAAAGAGTGGATTTAGTGGGAAGGGGAAAACAAACTCAACACATCTCTTGCTGGATAAGTGTCTCAAAATTTGGTCTATACTAACATTGAAACTTTGAAGTAAATGAAAAGATGAGCATCCAAGTCAGGCATAGTGGTACATATCTGTAATCCCAACACTCAGGAGGCTAAGGCAGGAGGATTGAGAGTTCAAGGCCAGCCCTGGATATTATGCAAGATCTTGTCTGAAGTAAAGAAGAATATCAAAGTACAGATATCTAGTGGGAATTTTCTCACATGAGTTTCCTTAGCCCCTGCAATTCCTGTCTATATTCAGTATTTTAAGACAATTACCAAGATCCTATTTTTAAGCCACAAGAATTGATCTAATTTTAATTTTTAAAATCCCTGAATTGACAAAGGGTACTTGGATCCAGGAAAGTGAAAAGTAGTTAAAATTCCTGAGATCAACTTTGATGGTCACATTTCAAGAAAACTGGACTTCAACAGTTACACATCAAAAGGCACAGAATGCATAAAGCAGATAACTAGGAAGTCATGATTTATATTTAAAATTTTCATTTTGCAAAATGTTCTTATAAATGTTACTATAGGAAATAAAGCACGAGTTCTATGTATACCACACTGATATACCTGCTTTGCACAAAGTGAGACCAGGCCCTTGGCTAGTCTCTGAAAGGAGGAGAGCCTTTATCTGTGGTTGGAACCAATTCTCCTTTCCTGTGCACTCAAGCTTAAGAGAAGTGCATGTGGCCCCATACAGGTTACAGTCCTACCCATGTGCACATCCCCACTAGCAGAGAAAGGTTTCCCTTCTTGTCTCTTCTAAGGCAACATCTTTTCCCTAAAGTATTAGTCCCAAAGTTAAAACTTTGCTTCCCATCACCAAACTACTTTGAGATTCCTTGAAGATCCACAGTGTACATCGGTATTGTTTTAAGAAGATCCTCAGAGAAACATTTCATCTGGTTTAAGCCAGCATATCCAAAACCTATTTGATCATGGAGCCTTCTCTTTATGTGCCACCGTTAATATGCCACCAAGGACAATTTTGGAAATGCCTTACCAGAGTAGCATTTAAGATCCTTAATGGGTAACCACTCCAATTGATCTCCAGAGATGTCACTAAAAAAGAAAGATTTCAGTCTATGTCAACCGGAATGTTCTTAGAAGTCCCTAATTTGTGGTGGTAGCAGAGGGAATCCATACTGGCCATTTAAAATTTATTTTTATATAAAGTCATATATTTTCCTGCACAAGATGTGAAAATCAGTATGTTTTATGAGCAAGGAGTATAGAAGTATATTGTGTAGTTTCCTTTATCCTTTGGTTGGATGGAGGGAAAAACCTCCATCATTGTCAATGACACACTTTTTCTCACAAGGTCTGGGAGGATGAGGTTCAACATGAACAGGGTCTGGTGACCTCAAGTAGAAGAGAAATCCCCTTTTCTGGACATTATCACAGAAGCATGTAGAAGCAGTGGCAATGCTTAGCAATCTGCAAAATATGAAGCAATAAAATTGATTGGAGTCACCTGTTAGAAAGGAAAATTAAAGCAATTTGTAATTTTGATTATTTTACAGTGCATTCACATATCTATTGAGTTAACACACAAATCTGTTATTCCCCTAATATGAATTTCATACAGAATAAAAATAGCAAGGAAGACAGTGTAATAGAGAGAGTGGATGTATCAAGCCACCTAATCCCTTTCCAACTTAATTATCTCATGTTTCAAGGATCACTTAGACTTGTGTTGTACAGTACTGTAGCCAAGAGCTCCACGTGGCTATTTACATTTAAATCAAATTAACTAAAATTAAATAAATTAAAATTTCAGTTAATTGCACCATCCCCATTTCAAGGGTCCAGTAAATACTTAAGACAGTTGGCTTCCATGTTAGCCATCTTACAGAACATTTCTCCCATCAGCACATAATCTACTGAACTGCAAAATCAAGGTCAAAGTGTCTTCATTTGCTCTGAAGACATTAGAAAACCATGGTATTAACTCTTGACTTAAGAAGACTTGGAAACAATTTCCTGAATAACAAAGAGAAAAGTTAGGGCATTGACACTTGTGTTGTCTTATATAAAAACACACAGTTTTTTCCTTTAAATGGCCAAGTAATGTGCAAATACATAGAATATAGATCATTCAGCATAGGTGACCACATCCATTGTGCGGAAGAAGCCCAGGTGGATGCATCTGCATTTTATGTTCCTATAAGTATCAACCCTGAAAGCAGTGAGACTCATTTTAGTTATTTATTTTCTCATTTGTGAAACTTGTCATACTGGGTGCCATGGCCCACTTCTGTAATCTTAACTACTTGAGAGGTGGATATTGGGAGGATTGTGGTTCAGTACCAGCCCAGGCTAAAAATTAGCAAGACCCCATCACAACAAATAGCTATGCAGGTGGCATAAATAGAGGGTCATAACCCAGACAAAAAAAAAATTCACCTGAGACTCTACCTGAAAAATTACTATAGCAAAAAATAAATAAACAAACTTGCTACCTGCTTTCCCTGACTGAACCTACTGCAGAAATTGGGGAAGAAATGCAAAGTTGAAGCCAAGAGGGTTTGCAAATGGAACATTGCTGGAAATGTTTTTTGGGACCAAATTCACAACCACCCAATCACAATTTTCAAGGTATGACATGAATACCTATGCAAGTACATTTTTGTTGGTCTAGAAGAAAGAAACACACACACATTTTTCCCAGCATTTTTCAGTAGTTATCGCTACTGCCTCATAGCAACCAGCTAGCCAATTCTGACCTCTTTCTACCTCATTAGGCTTAATGTGCCTATTTGCACACCTGCATCTTTCTGATGCATCTTGAAAGCCAAGAAGATAGGCAAGCAGATGTAAAGAATAGCTCCAGAAATCTGGTGACCTGATTTCTCCTCAGCTCATCATTCCACACCTTGAGCTCAGTGCTGGTATGACAACTCCTTTCGTTTGTGACTCCCCAGCACACTTAATGAGTTTCCCCACTCCTAATTAGAGAACATGGCATTTGGAACACCAGGTGGTGCAGAGCTAAGACCTTTTGTTTTGTTTTGTAACTTCCACATGTATTTTTTTTTAAGGAAGACTTTCACAAAAAAAAATGTTGGCTCCAAATGATTGGTGATTATCTCTCAGGATGTCTTAGATGTGTCTTCACTGGGGCTGATTCAAAAGAACGTTTTTTAAGGATAAACTAGCTGTTTTGAATAGCTGTGCTAGTTGCTTCTGATTGACTCTGAAAGTTATTCATGGTTAGAAGAGGATGGAAAGAAAGTATTGAGACAAGTTTGCCTATAAATTGAAAGATTCGTTGTGCAGCTTTCCTGTCTCACCTGTTCTTTCAGCTCCTTCTTGTAGTAAAACCACATGTAATGACATTGGCTAGAAGCCCTTGGACACAGTATTCTATCCTAAGTTGCCCCTTCACAGTGAGGGTGAGCATCCTTCCCTCAGAGGATCATGGGACTGTCTAATCTAATTAGAGTCTGAATAGTCCCTGCTTTCAGATGGGAACTTGGATCCTGCTTGTTAATTGTGCTGACGTCATTCCGCAGTGGTTGAATGTCTCTGGTCTGTTTCCAGTTGATGATCAGTGCCCCACTGCACACACTTCATTTTGACTATGCCCATTTGCTCAATCTCTCTGCTTAACTGAACAATCGCAACTACTGATACTTACAGCTAAATGTTAATTATTTTTCTTTTCAGAGTTTTCTCTTAATGATTTTATTTACAAATTAGAAGACTTTATCATATTTTCCACACCAAATCCCTCATCTGAACCAGTGTGGCAAATAGTATATTTTTAGCCAAGACAACAGAATTTTTAACAAGTGTTCACCATTCACGTTTATTATAATTATGTAACACTTAGAAAGCTGAAATGATCCAAAAGTGTTAGTAGTTAAATAACTGTATATGCAATTAATTACTAATAAACTTTCTTTCAAAGGGTGATCTGATTTTTAAAATCAATATAAAAGGAACACAATGTATTTACTAGATTTTTATAAGGATACTAATCAAGGATTATTTGAATGAAATTTAAGTCCATATCTGATAAGTAATGGTAAAGCAAAATCAATTTTGAAAATCTGGAAAGTTCAGCAAAGTATAAAGACTGTCTAAGTAATCCCCCATAATTCTCCACACCCCAAGACAATCACTATTAACACTTAAGTACTTTTCCTTCAAAGGGCAATCTGGGTTCTTCCTTTGGGATGTGCTTATTAGGATCGCTAACCTGTAACATGCAGCCAGGATTAGTAGTCAACCCATTCTGTCTCCGGTGTGTTTTGTACTAAGCTTTCATTAACCTCAGCTTTAGACTGGTAGATTTGGGTAACTGCTGTTCTGGTGTAGTCTCACCTCTGGGCATCCATGAGTGGGGCTCCTTTTCATCTCTAAGTCCAATTTCTTCTTGTGTTTTAGGGTGGTTATGCTGCATACCGCTATGCCCAGCCTACCCCCGCCACTGCAGCTGCCTACAGTGACAGGTAAGAATCTTGTTTCTTGTGCTTGACAACTACTGAAAATTATCATAGTTGGTGGGATAGGAGATTGTTGTCCAGTCTTGCTGAAAGTGCATGACCTCTGGGGAGATAGCCCCCAAAAGTTTGGTCCCATGGTAAAGGTAAACACAGATCACATGGGAGAGGAATGATTCTTAAGTCTAGTTCATTATAAACTTCTCATACTCTCTCTGCTACAACACAATGAAAATAACAAGTTTTGTCCCTGTATAGTTGCTTTTCAAATCTCTTTAAAATCTTTTCAAATCTTTTCCCATGACCATATGCCTTATACACATGTACATACACACACACACCCCTGTACACTCCCTGTGTGACCTTTTCAAGGTCTTCTATGTAAGACTATGGTTTCACCTAACTCCCAAGGAGGAAAACAGAAGATGATAAACTCTTCAGATTTACCTCCCCTACCCCAAAGCATTCTTTCCACTGCCTTTTTAAATTCAAAATAAAGGAAAGCAAAATTCTTCTGGCTTCCCTAAGGAGATTCATTCTTTGTGACCATGCCCAGTGTCCAGTCCCACAAACATAACCTTTATTTGCAGTGCACACTCCACATGAAGATTGACAGTGGGAGGGCCAGAAAGTATGCTTGAGAAATGCAGAAGTCAGAATGAATGTGTGTGGGTGGCTTGATCCCCCAGGCTTTATAGATGAGTTGATTCCTAAAACAGCAAGTCACAGCTATTTTGTACAGGTGCCTTGAAAAAAAAACAATGCGTACATTTCCATATTGAATGCAGTTTCTTGGCTCTGTTTTCTGAGGACATAAATGTGAATGTTCAGACGCTCTGCATGCTGAAATGTCACAGAGGGGGCTTATTTTGGTAATGACTCCTTTAATTTAAAAATATGTCTCATGAGTAAAACAATAATGGTAACGATTTGCATGTGTGGCTGAGGCATGCTTGGTCAGACAGGTAAGCAGGCAATGGACTTGAGTCTTGAATGAGAAGTGTCGGCAGACATGGGTCTCCCACCTGGCCTGTGGTGATTGAGTTCCTGTCTTGGTTTGCTGTGGGGTGCTTTTCCAGCCGTTCCATTCCATTTCTCACAAGATGAGTTGTGAGTTCATTGTAGCTACAGAATTCTTCTGCAATATAATAAAGCAAAAAGAAATCCCTGAATCTGAAATGCTGCACTAAGAAAAACCCCACACACAAACTTGTAATAAGTGGCTCCTTGACAAGACACAGCTGAGATCTGCTGTCTGGTTATATGCAGGTATTATTATTTTTTCTTATAAGCAGCTATAATAAGTTCTCCAGGCTGTAGGGAGCCTTTGAAAAAATCCAAACCATTGTCAAGACATACTTGTAAATACATAAATTTTCTATTTACCCAATAATTAGTTGCCAAAATGCAAAATGTTTCGTGTAAATTATTATCTACAATACACTTTGACCCTGAATTAGGAAAATAGAGAGGGTCAATAAAGCTAATAAAAATGATAGCAATCTTGAAATACTCAAGATCATTCAGCAAATGAAAAGGCTTAATGCTCAATTCTCCACACTGAAGATTCATGCAGTATCAACCGTAATGGGGTTCAGCCAAAACCCTTAATTATTTTTATGAAAATATCTCTAGATGTTAAATTCTCAAACACCCACTTTGTATGTAATTACAATCATAGTAACTTTAGCCTGCTGTATAATTATAAGCATCTTAAACAGATTTATTTCTTTCAGTATAAGTGCATCTATCCCCAAGTCGAAAAAAGGTTAATTACAAAGATGTAATTTAAATTGACTTCCTCAATAAGACCAATCTAGACATCTGAAAAAGTAAACAATGCTTAATATTACTCTTCTCAGAGAATTACTTCAGAAGCTAACCATCTCCACTTGCTTGCATCTAAAATTCACTTAAGATTTTCTGTACGTTGAGATAGCATATAGGTAAATATAGGTATAAGTTCTATAACTTTAATATCAAGATTTCTCATTGGCAACATATCCTACTGAAAATGCCCTCATTCTTGGATTGGTAAATCTTTAATAACTCTGCAATTCCCAGTTTGGTCTAATAGTTTCAGTTGAAGAAACCAACTAACTATATTCTTGTCCATGTAATTGGCCTCTTGCTGTTCATTAGAGACATTTGCATATTAGGTCTTCTTGGTTGCTGTAGAAATTGATTACTGGCCCTACTTAACTTTATTGTAAGCAAGATACTTGTCACATATGGAATTATTCATTGAGGTAAATCCAGTAATAGGTGAATTACCAGAAAACGTTCTCTAAGATGATATTTCTGGTTTGATCTATCAAACTTTAAAAACTTTAAAAGTATCTCTATTAAAGTATCGTTTTATTCCTAGTAAGCAGAGGCAAAGAAGACACACATTTTGAGGAAAATTGGAAATTATCAGAATAGCTTTTGAATTTTTATTAAAGATGCCAAGCATCTAGAATTTATCTCAGGGAAATGGGATAGTAAATTAATTTTTACCCTATCACAGCGACATAGCAGTCATAGACTCTTAGGTATTCTTCTCTGGACATCAGACAGGAAGACAAAAAGATAAACTTCTTCACACACACACACACATACACACACATGCAAATACCTTCATACTAGGAAAGAAAATCAGCAGGACTGGAGAATGTTTTTGGAAATGCTCACTGGTTGTCAATTTGATCAAAAGAAAAATTGCAACAAACTTTTCCTGTAATCATGAGACTCACTCTTCAGACATCTTAAAAAGGAAAGAAGTTTGATGTCCCCAGTTGGTAGAATTTTACCTTTTATCAGCAGAAATTAAGCCCTCATCAAATTAAAGATTCAGGGACCTTTGAAAAATATTGAACTGCAGTAACCTCAGGACTGCCCACAAGGTCTTTATTGGGCACTTTGCAACTCCCTGCCCATCATCTTCCTGGTTAGATGATCACATGCTGATGACCTCTGAACACCTTGAGAGGATTCTGAATGTTGACCTCCAGAATGAAGACCATCTGGTGTGGGCAAAGCTTTTCCCAAATGAAAAAGACTTAGCTGAACTAGGTAATTTTCTAGTCTCCTGGATGAATTGAATGGGGATAGGTGAAACATCTTTTCTTGGTGTTTGGTAAGCATGTGATCTCACAATTCTTTATTTTTAATCTCACTTTTATTGACGGAAAGCCAACTGTCCAAACTGTCAAAGAGATTTGTTTTCTGAGCTTGAGCCAATCAAAGCATGGCAGTGGGGCCTCTGGTCATTTGGTCATTGCATGCTACTTGATGTTGCCAATGTGTCTGGGGTGCGCTCTGGATCCCACGAGTCCATCACATTTAGTTCAGTGAATGGCTTGCTTGAATTCAGCCTGGGGTAGGCTCCTCTTTATTGATTGGCTCTTGGTTTCTTTGTGTATTCCAACTTAGTCTTTGTTGCATCTTTCAGCAGTCCAACTGGGAGGTGGGGAGGAGAGAGATACCCTGTTCAATGAATGGTGCCACATGTATGTGGAGAAATATGTATGATGTGTACATAGCTTTGATGGAAACAAATATTGGTCATGCTTGTCCTGCTTGCTAACACTAACATTTCCTAACGTCCAGTGCATGAAAATATCCCTCCATGTTAGGAAAGAGACTAGGTAGATGCAGACCAACTAGAGAAGAAAACAATACAGTGTTTGACTCTGAAGCATCGTAATTCTACTGATAGCTGCCAGGGGCCATTTCTTCATTCATTTATAGTTTCCTTTAAATATCTGCTAATGCCAGGAAACTTTTGGCACAGGATTATAGCATCAGGCTACATTGGTGTCCCTAGATGAAGTGAACGAGACTGCAAGCTATAGGATTTTGTTTTCTTTTATCCTTTTTTTTCTCATTTTTATTACGATGTATTTGTCATATAGGAGAGATTCTTGTGACAGTTTTGGATAGGCTTACATAGTACATTGGTTAGATTGCTGCCACCATTTCCCCTGCAACCCTCTCCCTAACCCACTTAAAGCAATTGCAAGAGGTTGTCTTTTTTTTAAGAACTTAAAGTTTCATTGTCAAGTTAGTGTTAGAAGGTATACATGAAATTGTTCTTTTTGTGTGACAAATAGTAGAATATTGGCAATCCTACATATCTCAACTTAATAGAAACCCAAATAAAATCACATTAATAGCAACTATCTTGCTCTGTGCTGATACATCATCCCACTGTCACACATTCCTTTATGCCTTATGGCCTCCCAAGGGATTCAAAAGAGTATCTAGGTAGATCTTAATATAAGAAAGGCAAGACTTGTCAAGTTCATTTAAGCTTGTTGAGTCTAAGTGAGTATCATTTAAATCTTGTAGTGATAACCTATCAATAAAAGTGTCTACTTTGGTGAAAAATAGATTAATATTTCCTAAAACTCAATAGGCATAAGTTGGCATGTCTTTGGGGTTTGGCCTACTTCTATTTAAAATTATATAGATAGATGTACACATATGTACATACATACATGGGTAGATGAATGGGTGGATGGATATACACAAAGAGAGGTAGATGATACATAGGTAGTTGGGTGAATGAGTGGAAGGAAGGAAGGAAGGACAGACAGAGGAAGGGAGGGAGGGAAGGAGGGAAGATGAATGGAAGGAAGGAAGGGGAAACAAAGAAAAACACTAGCCCTCTGCCCTTTTCTAATATTTCATCATAAGCTAACCTACACTAAATAGAGCTAAATAAATTCTTACATAGAACCTTACACTGAGCGAAAGTGAGAAAGTAAAGGGATTTGAGTTGATATCCACTAGTATGGACTACTCTTCATCTATTTTAGGAGTTTTTATTTTCTGGACTCAGACTAATACAGAAATTCTTTTGTTAAAATAGACAAATAATTGCATTTAAAATGATATCACTTGATACTTATCAAGTGATAAATACTAAAAATTAGGGAGTTGTCAGCACATCCAACTTATGAGCATCCTAAATGGAAAACTTCATTTACCATTTAAACATCTTTTCTTCCTTGTACAAAAGTTGC